AATTTCTCTCCTAAGTAAAAATAGAGATAGAATATCTTTGAGTATTGTGATGAAGATTAGCAAGTATTCAGGTAAATCACCTTCACCCTGTGTGTGCACTCAGTACATAGAAGATACTGAGAAAATGGAAGCTATTTTAATCTTGACTTGGACTTTTCAGCTTCTAAGAAAACTGTCACCCTTCTCCTTCAGTTCTGCTTTCTTGCAAGAAAGAAGCAAAAGGTTGTCATTATATGTGTCCCAGGAAGAAGAAAGACTGACACCAAACCCTTGGTGTACTCAAGACTTTGATGTTCAGCAAAGCCTACTCTAACTTCAGGGGGGAGATTGTACTCAGTTTTACTATTCATCAGCATTATCTGATGACAGACTTATTGCCTGGGAAAATGTGGTTTTATTTCTTTTGATTCACTTTATTTTAGTAATGGCAAAGGTGTCTCATTATGTCACAGGGGTTAAGCAAGAGCCATTCATTTACCGGTAGTGCCTTCCTGTGGCCCAGACTCTATTCTAGCTGGAAAGCCCAGGTCTACAGCAGCTACTCAAGAGCACTGACATGCACTCATGACTTGACTTAAACACTCTGGGTCGTTGAATCCGTATTGGCAGTGGACCTGACATAACATGCTTAAAGATGAGGGGAGCTGTGACACTTAGTCCTCATGCAGGCACTGTGGTCCCCCAGCTGGTCTATAGCCCCCTTGGTGGCTCTAGGAGCAGACTTCTCTAAGCTTGAGAGGCAAGCATGTCACTCAAACTACTTGTGGTTAGAATGACTTTGGGGGCTGCTAAACAAAACAAAACAAAACAAAAAGAACAAAAAAAGAAAAAAATGCCTGTTCCAATGAGTGTGTCCAGTCCCTCAGCCACTCCATTCTGATATTCTCCTTGTCCTTGGGGAACATAAATCCCGTAAAACAAGCTGTGTCTATCATAGTTCACAGAGGTGATCTACAATGTCACTACTGGAGGAAGGAGGAGAAGGTGCCACCCACGTTAGCGAGGGAACCGTGGTGGGAGGTGTGTGTGTGTGGGTGCAGTTCCCAGCACAGAACAATCCAGGTTCAGCTGAATAAAAGGCTGTTAAGAGACTTAAACTGCTTGACAGTCAGCTAAGAATGAAAGTAGCAAAACAAAATTGAGTTCAATTTCAAGGTCAACCAATTGAAAAGAAACAAGCACATGCGTAAGAAAGTTTTATAAGCCAACTGGCAAGTTTTACAGGAACGAGGCAGCAGTTTGGCAATGTTAGATACCAAGGCTAAGGGTGGGGTTAAAGTTAGGCCTCCCCCTGGGTTACCAGGGAGCAGCTTCTCTAGCCAGACAGGAGACCAATAGCTGAGGACAAAAGGTCGGCATCATCCTGACATAGACAGAATAGGCCAAGTCACTTTCTAAAATACCCGGGTGTTTCCTTCTAACGCAGTGTGAAATTACCCCAGGCATAGCAATAGTCCCCAGACTTTGAGTGCTGGAAGAAACCTCAGAGGTTCCTAATCTGATGTGCTCTGTTTTCAGAGGGAGTAAGTTATAGCTTGGAGAAATTAAAGGACTTGACTGAAGTCATACAGAGATTGGGTGACAGGTCTAGGACATTCCAGGCGATCTGCCCCCACTTCAGTGTTTTTTCTTAGTACCCAGTCTGATTCCTAATGTGTGTCCTCTGGGCGTTCTTGTTTCCTGTCCCGAGAGTGCTTTTGTTACAAATCCTACTTATAGTGAATAGCAGCTGTGGTTAACAGCCCTTATGTGGTTAAGAATTGTCTCACCAGTTTTTATTTTCAGGCTGGACACTGAGTACAGGAGATTAAAATATATACGTTTTACATTTCCCTTTCGGTAAAATGAGATTCCTAATACCATCTTGCTTTCTAAAGTTGCCTCCAGGGATAGCGGGTAACATTCAGGATATTTATTCAATGTCGACAAGAAAACAGTTTTCTCAGACTCAAAATCAAGGAGTTTATTATATAGTCTAAAAGCTAAATCTGACCCATACAGAGCAGCAGAGAGTCTATAAGGCAGAATTGATTTGTGAGTTAAAATGATAAGCTCCGTGAAGTTCCTGGAGGGATAGATCAGCGAGAGGGAGGGGTGATCAGGAAAGGCTTCCTGTGGGAGATGGGACATGCATCGACTTGTAGGCAGGATGGGAAAGAGCTGATAAATGGCGCACCCGTGCCAAGGGAACAAGACAGGAAGGATAAAGACAGAGGTGTGGGAATGAGAAGAGCATCTTCATGAAGAGATGACTAAATCTCGTAGGAAATGGGGAGCCACAGAGAGATTTTAAGGAATGTAGCTGTCCTGCATGTCAGACAAATTGGAAGACTAGAATTAAAGGGAACCAGCCATTACATCTGTATTTCAGGAGAAAATAAGTAAAAACCATCAAGGATCTGAATTGGGTCTCCCAGTACAAATGGAAAGGTAGTTACAGGTATGGTAGACACTTCAAAGGAAATACTGAACCCAGGATGCTCCTGTCTCCCTGAAGGAGCCTTTGCTCATTTCTCCTGGTGATGAAACACCAAATGGTTTTACTTATGGAAGGAATACTGTGTGTTATAAATGTCTATATATCAATATGTATATGTTTCTCATGATTTACTTGTTTTTCCCAATAAATCTAATTGCTTTAGATGAGGTTTAAAATTCTGGATGCATTCTGCGGAGTGGAATTAACATAATAGTTCATAGTTTTCAAGGGACATCTCAAACGCTTTTGAAATCTTTCAATGCTCTGCATTTCTCAACAAGTGGTGCATTAATCAGGCTCTTGCTCTTGCAGACTGTAAGAAAGAAACACACTCAGCTTATGCCATATGATGGACATTTATTATTGGAATTCACAGCAAAGTAAGTAGGCAGACCCACTGCTCAGCAGTTTTGCAGCCATTCTGGGTATACTGATCTAGGGCTTATAGAATGGAAGGTACAGTAGGCTTAGATTGGACCTGGGGAGAAATGTAATAGTTTCACATGATTTTGGTTACTGCAGAGGCTCTTGAGACCCTTCTTCTCTGTGAGCTCCTTCCATGCTCCCCCAGAGAGAGGCTGTCATTGCATAGTCATTATATAATATGGAGGACCACTGCTGGGAATTTCTTCCCAAGGCATCACATTGAGAATCTCTGCACCATGGTCATCCCCACTTGATTGCTTTTGACTAGGGCTCAATTCCTGTTGTAATTAGCTCTGGCAGGGTTGATAGCTCTCATCATAGATGACTCAAGCCACAGTGATTCAGGCAGAAAGAAAGGTCTGGGGTATCTTATTCAGTGGGGCTCTACGGCAGACACTCAAGAGTTTCCCATCTAGTTTAGATGGGGTGGATGATGATAGAGCTGTGTGTATGGAGGCAATAGAAGGAATCGTCATCATTATCAAATGGAGTCCTTAGGTTTTCAACTTAGGAAGACAGCTGGGTCGCAAATGGACAAGGGTTCCTACGTATTTTGAGCTTCTCGCTAACTTCTGCTTCTATCAAAATTAAATATTTCTCTCTCCTCTTCCACAAAACAAGTCAGGAGTTATGGTCACATGGCACATCTGGGGGCTGTCAGAACTTTCTGTATTTTATTGTGGCTGTTCTCGGAGATGAGGTATGAGACAAGGTCAAGTGCTCTATTTTTTCTCTGAAGTCAAAGATTGTCTACACCGACTTGTCTGGGATTATCAACAACTAACCAAGGACTTCTTAGTGACTACCAGCTCCAAGATGACATCTCACAATTTCATCTCAGTAGCTCTGAACTACTGGAATGGTTCCTAGAATGTTTGGAGTTGAGAAAGATTCTAATGTTTTGGCTTTTCTCAGTAGGAAAGAACGCCAACATTAAGTAGTGACAACTCTAAGGAGGGACAGAAACACCTTGCATGTGTCAACCTTACATCAACCTGACACCCCTCTCTGCCCTCCTCCATCCCAATTCACTAGATCTAAAACCCAGAGATTTTATTGATGTTTGATGCCCTTTGCTTCATTATCTCCATTCAAATCTATATAATTAACAATTTTTGAAATTGTTGAAATTTTGAGTTTTATTGAGCAATAATAATGCAAAAAAAGTAACATTCACATTGTCAAATAAGAGTATGTCTATTATAGAATGCTCTGACTCTGAGGTTCAGTATGGAGCTTCAGTCAAAAGAAGTTAACTGAAATTTCTCCTTTTCTAATCCTTCAGGGGTGTCCAACCTGCAGTCTGGGGGCCACAAGATGATTATTTGAGGACTGTTTTGTTCATCTGTGGTGTCAATATTGTGAAAATTATGTATGACTTTGTTCTTTGTTCATCAGCTTTTGTTAATGTTTGTGTGTTTAAAGTGTGGCTCAAGACAACTCTTCTTCTTCCAATGTGAGGCAGAAATAAGAAAGGTTAGATATCCCTGCCAGCTCTAACTTTGGTCCAGGACAGCTTTTTAGATGATCAAAGCTGTTGTCATTTACAGGGGAACAGTAGAGTCCTGGGGGAGCCCACTGGATGTCCAGGAAAAGCCTTCAATTAGCAGATCCTTGGTACTCTGGCCATATTGAGCTTTAGTCTTGCCTTGACCTTCTAGGTGGAAAATCGCCATAGTATCAGTGCCCCAAACTGGACAAAGAGGGAAATGATTTTTATGAATCAAAGTCATAGGAACCTATGTATAGAAAGCTACACAGTAAAAAGTGGACCAGCTCTATAGAAAATGGCAAATTGCTTGCAGCTGTACATTTGTCCCTGGTAAGGACTCTCCATGGAAGTCAGGACATAGTCACAAGAGGGTTTGGCAAATAGGAAACTCAACTTGGAGGCTGGCTGTGTAACCTAGAGATTCAGGTGGTGTTAGCCTATCTCCACTTCCCCAGGGTTGTTCTGGACAAGCACTGTCAGTGTGCCAACCTGGCTGGCTTTCATACGGACACCCTTTAGCAGCACTGCTATCATGTGGCTACCATAGAGTTCCTCCATTCAGTTGGATCTGAACTGCCTTTTTTTTTGTTTGTTTTTATTCAGTCTCCGTAGAGACTCAAAAATTGCCAATGCTGACTATATTTCAAGTTGTCATGGTGGAGTACTGGGAAAAGTTTTCAATTAGCAATAATCGCACCTCGGATAAACCTCATTGGCTACGATACTGCCACTACGCAAAGCTTGAACAACTGCCTTTTAGTGTGGAGGGTTGTTTCATTAGCTGAACCCTTGCAGGTTTGGGGGGTTCCCCAATGTACACCTACCTAGTCCATTTGCCAGATACTTAGCAAGCCTCACCACCTTTAGATTTTACTAATTCATTTGTCTAAGAATACCTTTGATTATCTAATGGACCTCCCATTTCATGGGACCCTAATTGAAAAGCCCTACTACAATGTCTCATGAAGCCTTCACAATGGGCTTGGGAAACAGGCAAAGTGTGCATTACCACCCTCATTTTACACACTAGCGAGTTGAGGCTTAAAAAATAAACTTATCCACATTGTGGCAGCTAACCTGCCCCAGGGCCAGGCCTGGGACCTGGGACCTGGGACCTGGGACCGACGCCTGACCATGTTTGCTCTGCTACCTGCATCCCTGTTTTTTTTTTCCATTACAGATGCTGAGATAACAGTTCCCAAACCCTGCTCAGAGTGCCGTGAACTTCCCAATGACAGTTTTCAGGCTGTCACCCAGTGTCTGACTGCCCGCTCCCTATCCCCCAGATTTTTCATTCTGCTCAGTCATGCGAACCCTGTTCCTGTTCCCACTTGCCTCCACGCTCGCCCTTGCCTTGGCAGCTGCAGCGCAGAAAGAAAACGAGTTCAGAGTGTGCTTCTGGGTCCTGTTTCAGTGCCCGTCCCCAAGCCGCATGGGGTATCAGTTTGGCAGGTCATCTTCTGCTGGCACTGGGCTTGGGGACCTCGGGATGGCAAAGGCGGGGGAGGCACGACTGACTGAGACTGAATATTTTCAATGCACGTTTGATTCTCATTTCCATTCAGGGCTCCTCATTAGGCCACAGATGGACCATGGACCTGTTCTTCCTTTTGAGTTGGCAGGAGCCAAAGCCCCATTAGCAGCAATGCGCACCAGTAGGACTCCAGGGAGAGGAAGAAGGCTGAAAGGACTGGAGTTTCTAGTCCAAATTTTAAAGAAAAGAAGAGAATAAAGGCCCATAAAACTCAGAAACACTTCTTCCCTTGGCTCATTCACATGGAAATGCAAGTCTGATGATCTTGGACAAGGAGGTGAAGGCCTCAGGAGCAGGGGTCAGAGAGCTCTCCGTGTCCTCAGTCCAGCCCCATGCGCACCAGCAGGGCTTAGCCCCTGAACCACCAGTGCCAAATGGACACTTGGCAGCAAGAACCACGATCCCAATTGTTAAACTAATAAGTGCTGAGCCCCAAACAGCTCTTTCTGGTGCACGTACTCCCAAGCATTGGGTGCTGGGAAAATTTCCCATCAAGCACAAGATGCCCCGTTGACTTCTGTATTCATGACGTGAAGGAAAGCAGTACTGACGTTGTTAGGGGCTATCCAAGGCCTCTCCAAGGGCTGTGAATGTGGGGTTGGGTGAGCTCAGGCCTAGTGGGCGCCAGGGTTAATGTCAAGAAAGGAAGCTGTGGGTCTTGTTTCTTGACACCTAAAGAAGCAGATACTGGAATGGGATCTATGTTTTGCAACCTAGTCTCTTAATGAGAGACATAAAGAGAGCAACTCCGCCTTTGTTATGATCACTGCGCTGGTTACTAAACCTGTCGGCACACCTGCCCTGAGCACAGCATCACAGATGATGCATAAGGAAATGCCAGCCCTGCTTCCAGGGCACAACCTTCCCCTTCATTCACTGCATTCTCAGCCCATCCTCACACCGCCCAGGGAGGCACGCAGGATGATGTTAAACTTCCCATCCTGCAAATGAGGAAACTGAATCTGCATGTAAACGATTTGCTTATGGTCAACAGAGCTAAGGCTCAACCCCAGGGCTGCTGACCAACTCTTGTACCTATTTTTTCCTAAGAATTTACCTTCTGGAAAGATCTCAACCTAATCAACATGGTTAGGATTGGGAAAGGTTGTCAAATTTGGAACTATGAATAACTCTCAGTTTGAATGTAAGTTTCATGACATCTGGACTTCTCAAAGAACCATACTTACCAGGCTTTCTGTAAGAGACCTAAGCTGAGGCTCGGCACCTGTGGCTCAAGCAGCTAACGCGCCAGCCACATACACCTAAGGTGGCAGGTTCGAATCCTCAGCCCGGCCTGCCAAACAACAATGATGGCTGCAACCAAAAAATGGCCAGGCGTTGTGGCGGGCGCCTGTAGTCCCAGCTACTTGGGAGGCTGAGGCAGGAGACTTGCTTGAGCCCAGGAGTTGGAGGTTGCTGTGAGCATGATGCCATGGCACTCTACTCAGGGGGATAGCTTGAGGCTCTGTCTCAAAAAAAAAAAAAAAGAGAGACCTAAGCTGAGGCTCTCATTCGAGGGACAGCCTAAATATTAGTGCCATCATAACCGGTAGATGGTGCTCTTCTGTTTGCGAGGCCGACTCCCACACGGCCTCCTCTTCTCTTTCCAGCCGGAGTCCAGGCTTCACCCTGCCCCTTGCCATTTACTTCATCCTCCTTCCACCGCAGAGGGGTGCTTTCTCTTTTCCTGGGCTTATCAGCCTTCTGGCTACCTTCTCCACTATGCTATTTGAAGATGTTAGTTGATAGAGGCCAGAACATTCTACATCAGCACCTTGTGTCCATTGGAAAAAGGGAAAATAGAGAAAGGGGAAAAACGGCCAGCACTCCATCTGTGCTACACGCAGACCTGGGCAGCAGCCTCCTTCATCTGCCTCCTCTGACCTGGAGTCTGCATTCCATTCCTAGCAGAGGGCCTGCCCCAGGGACTACCTTCCAGAATACTCTTTCCTACAGTGCCCGGTGTCTGTGTCCTGAGTTAAAGTAAGTCTTGTGCTCCATATCCTGCCAATCATCTGCTTATCACTAGACAAGGCAAATATGGTTGAAATGTTTCCAGTACTACTAACCAAATTCCAGTGCAGTCCAAATCACTTGGTTAATTGTTTTGAGCACCAGACCTGGCACTGACAAGCCCTGGAAGGAGGGCAGCAACTTCAATAAGGATAAATACCAGCATGCTCTTTTGCACTGAACAGGTAAAACTGACCTGCAAGAGTGTAAGTTCCACCAGGGTAGGGATTTTCATCTGCTTTTTTCTCTACTGTACCCCTTAGATACACCTGAAATGCTACCAGAACAGTATCCAAATGACTGCTAGGGACATTGTGGGTACTCAAAAAATAATTTTTAAAAATCGAGTTAAAGTTAAAGTGAATGTACAGATGATAAATATACTATTCAAAAAGCATTGAACAAGTGCATGCCCGTGTGGTGATATAGAACATTTCTGTCATTCCAGAAATAGGCAGGTGCTATTCTGTTGTTATCACTTATTACCAACTTCTTGAACTTCATCTAAATAGAAAATTTAGAGAGCTCTGGGGGATTAGACCCTGCTATTAATTCATTAAGAAAAGGAAAAATAAATAAATAGAAAATTGAGTCTGTACTCTTCTGTATTTGGCATTTTGAGGCTCAACATGTTTTGGAGATTTATCCATGACATTGCATGGATTAGTATAATAGTTTGCTATTTTAAAAATGGTTTTGGCTGGGCACCTGTAGCTCACTGGTTAGAGTGCCAGCCCTGTGCACCATGGGTAGTGGGTTCAAACACGGCTGGGACCTGCTTAACAAAAACAAACAAACAAAATTATCGTTGTTAAGCAGTATTCCATGTATGACTATTCCACAGTTTATTTATTCATTGTCTTGTTGATTAACATTTGTTTGTTTCTAGTTTTTTGGCTACTATGAGTAAAGCTGCCAAGAATATTTTTGTATACATCTTTTCATGAACACATTTTTTATTTTTCTTGGGTGAACACTTAGTGGTGAAATTGATGGATCATCAATTAACTGGATCATAAGAATCTTCCAGGCTAGCAATAAATATTTATGAAGCCTTTTGAAATGTGTCCAGATAAATTATTATTTCAATTTGAAAAGTCCTTTGCCTTTCTCTATCAACTACAGTAAAATTCAGTTTTCAAAAATTTTCCACTTCCTACACAAAGACTTCCCTGATTATCACAATATTTATTTT